TGCCTGGACAAACCCTGCTTAATCATCACAGAATGATGAATCCGTTCCCTGGGTTCAGGGGGACCTTAAGGATGATCCTGTTCCACTCCTCCCACAGCCCAGGGTGCTCAGAGCTCCACCCAGCCCGGCCTGGGCACTCCCAGGGATGGGGCAGGGAAAAAGAGCAGGAAAGAGGCCCCAAAAGAGACACCAAGGTGGAGAGGGGAATTCTGCAGGGAAATAGAAACCCCCTGGCACCTGAAACACAGCCCAGGTGAGCAGACACGGGAGCTGAGCTGTGGGGTCACACCTGAACAGGGTGTGACACGTTCATTTGGGGATTTCACAGGGCTTCCTCTCCAGTTTGTTCTGTTCCCACACCAGGCACCCAGGGCATGTTACAGGTAAACCCCTCCACTTCTCGGTGCCAATTAACCCCASAGTGCTAATTAACCCCAGCAAAGCTCTCAGTGTTCATGGATCTCCCAGCACTTCCCTCCTAAARCAAACCCAAGAGTTTTCTGGGCAGTTTGTATGAATTCACAACAAAATGCTTTCTCCTGGCTGCTCATTAATGACCGTGATCTGCTTGATTGAAGTCTGATTTTCACAGCAAACGCACAAACACCTCGAATGAGCTGCTCCACGCCCTGGTTGTGAGCCAGGTTCCCTCTCTGGGAGGCTCCTCACTCTCTGTAAAACCTCATCCCATCTCAGTTTCTCAATTCTGGTCTTGGGTCAATGCTGGAACCACACASAGCAGAACTGCAGAGGGTTTCTCCCTAAGGAGATTATGCAAAATGTCACTTAGCATAAGTTCCCATTTGAAAATGGAAGGGTTTTGATTCTTAGTTATGCTAATGAGAAACCAGAACAGATATTTTCTATTTCTGATATTAAAGGGGAGCCCTGCACTTTTCCTTAGTCATGCCCTTCTGCTATTGCATATTCCTCATACATTCCTATTTATGATACCTTCTGCTACCAATTTCTTTTATTTCTGAGGATAGAAACGGCTCTGAAATGCTTTTGTTGGGTTTGCAGWATCCAGATGCCTTAAACTCCTCTTACATAAGAGGATTTGTACTTTACATTAAAGTTTTCARGGGAGAGATATTTAAAAGATTACGAAATATGCTTGCAGAAAGAATGAAGAAAAAAAAAGAAGAAGAAGAATGTTGGAACATATCCATCAATATTTCAGTATAAATTGTTAGAGCACCAGAATTACACGGTGCAATTATCTCTCAGAATGTATAGCTCCTAGCACTGATCTTTATGTTCAACAGAAAAAATGGTTTAATACATCACAAATGAATGTTCATTAAGTTGTTGGGGAAAATTCTGTCATAATTGAATAATGAAACGACTGCACCTTGAGCATCTRCTTAAAAACTCTCCGCTGCTCTGACTGCATCAGCACAAGGGGTCTTTTACGGGGTATTTTTGCCAACACCAATCTTTGGATAAAGATTGGATAATTTTTTTGAGACTATTGATCACAGATCTGATCTAGATTCTCCCAGTGAGCAGTGTTGTGCTGTACATGGAATATTGAATAAAACCAGCAGCACTTCCACACCTCAGGATATTCTGTGATAGCTGAGATGAGCCRGACAAGGCTCCCAGAGAGCTTTTTGCAACAGGACTTGGATTTGTCTCACATTTTGTCTTTTAAAAAAGAAATCAGTGGCAATTCCATTAATAGGTTGCAGAGACATCATTATTATTATTGATAATGATACAATAATAGTAATGAGAAGAAGGAGGAGGAGAAGAAGAAGAAGAAGAAGAAGAAGAAGAAGAAGAAGAAGAAAAGAAGAAGAAGAAGAAGAAGAAGAAGAAAGAGAAGAAGGAGAAGGAGAAGAAGAAAAAGAAGAAGAATATTTTCTGCTACACTGTGCCTTTCCAGACACATCTCCTACCCCCTGCTCCGCCCACTTCCCCAAAAATTTTCTGGCTCAGCCTGGGCTGTGACCCCACCCCATGGCCCGTTTTTGGGGTCATGTTTAAGATGACAAACAGAGCAGGTTTGGTGATGGGGACACGAGGAGCGCCCCGGACAAAGCCCCCCAAGGACAGCACCACATTTGGGATCGGGCCCGTCACRGAACGAGGAGCGGGACGGCTGCTCCCTCGCAGGAAATATGCAAAGTTCCCCCCTGGAGCACAAAGGGAGCGGTTTTACGCTGCTGTAGATCACGGGCCGTGGATAATCAGCCCGCTATTCACTTCCCCGGCGCTGCGGAAGCGCAATCAGGAAAGCATTATGAGCAAAAAACCTGCCCTGCAGGGATAGACTTGCTTTAATAATGTTTATGACTTGTCCATATTGTATTTATGTCTGGAAGTTGATTCCTTGGGTTTTCCCACCCTTCCCCCCRCGACTCCCAGCCCCCAAAAGACGATTTGCAAGCTGGATGCTCCACCAGGAGAAATCGCTGATGGACGCTCTCCTCCCTCCAGGCTCAAGATATCCCAGCCAGAAATAACATAAATAACATTTGATTTTTTTTTTTTT